CAGCCGAGTGGGGTTCCCCAAGGAAGTCTTGACAGACCAAGGCTCCAACTTCATGTCGGCCCTGCTCCGGTGCTTGTGGGAGAAATGTGGGGTCCGGCACGACTGGGCCTCAGCTTATCACCCCCAGTCCAACGGGCTGGTGGAGAGGTTTAACGGGACGCTAAAGATGATGCTGAAAACCTTTATGAACCAGCACCCACAGGATTGGGACAAGTACTTACCTCACCTGCTGTTCGCGTACAGGGAGGTGCCACAGGAGTCTACCGGATTTTCGCCTTTCGAACTGTTATATGGAAGGAGGGTGAGGGGCCCCCTGGACCTGATGAGAGACGAGTGGGAGGGGAAGGCCACTCCCGATGGAGAGTCAGTGGTGGAGTATGTCCTGATCTTCCGAGAGAGACTTGCTGAACTCATGGGCCTGGCCAGGGAGAATCTGGCCAGAGCCCAGAAGAAGCAGAAGGTCTGGTATGACCGCACGGCAAGGGCCCGTGCCTACGCCACCGGGGATCCGGTGATGGTTCTCATCCCAGTGAGAAAGAACAAACTACAGGCCGCCTGGGAGGGCCCTTTCAAGGTCGTCAAGCAGCTCAATGAGGTAAACTATGTGGTGGAGCTGTCGAACCGGGCGCACCACCGCCGGGTGTACCATGTGAATATGATGAAGCCATATTATGCCAGGGGGAATGTGGTGTTTGCCGTGTGTGGACAGTGGGAAGAGCAGGGAGATGACCCTTTAGTAGATCTATTCCCTGGGACCAGAGCTGGTTCCCCCCTGGAAACAATTCCCCTCTCGGATCAGCTAACCCCTGCCCAGCAAGCTGAGGTCAGGGAGGTGCTGCATCCGTACCGACAGCTGTTTTCCAACCAGCCTGGACGCACTAATCTGACTGTCCACCGGGTGCAGACAGGGTCGCACCCGCCGATAAGATGCTCCCCCTTCCGAGTCACAGGGAAAACTGCTCAGGACCTGGAAAGAGAGGTCCGGGACATGCTGGCTTTGGGGGTGATCCAGCCCTCTGCCAGCCCTTGGGCCTCGCCGGTGGTGCTGGTCCCCAAAAAGGACGGGTCGGTCCGGTTCTGTGTGGACTATCGGAAGCTCAATGCCATCACTGTATCGGATGCCTACCCCATGCCCAGGCCTGATGAGCTCCTAGACAAGCTGGGAGGAGCTCGGTACCTCACCACCATGGACCTTACAAAGGGCTACTGGCAAGTGCCGCTGGATGCAGATGCCCGGCTGAAATCGGCCTTTATCACCCCTCTGGGGCTCTATGAGTTCCTGACCCTGCCTTTCGGCCTCAAGGGAGCGCCGGCCACCTTCCAGCGCCTGGTGGACCAGCTCCTGAGGGGGATGGAGAGTTTTGCCGTGGCGTATATTGATGACATCTGTGTCTTTAGCCAGACCTGGGAGGACCATGTGTCCCAGGTTAGACAAGTGCTGGACCGACTCCAGGGGGCTGGGCTGACTGTAAAAGCGGAGAAGTGCAAGGTGGGGATGGCGGAAGTGTCTTACCTGGGCCATCGGGTGGGGAGCGGCCGCCTAAAGCCGGAACCAGCCAAGGTGGAGGTGATCAGAGACTGGCCCGCTCCCTACACCAAAAAGCAGGTCCAAGCCTTTATTGGGATGGCAGGATACTACCGAAGATTTGTGCCTCACTTTAGCGCCATAGCCACCCCCATCACTGAGCTATGCAAGAAGGGGAAGCCAGACAAGGTGGTCTGGACCGAGCAGTGCCAGGAGGCTTTCCGGGCGCTGAAGGAGGCTCTGGTCAGTGGCCCAGTTCTGGCGAACCCGGACTTTGACAAGGCCTTTGTGGTGTTCACCGACGCCTCCGACACGGGACTGGGGGCGGTGTTAATGCAGGAGGATGAAAAGGGGGAGAGACACCCCATCGTGTACCTGAGCAAGAAGTTGCTACCCCGGGAGCAACACTACGCGGCCATCGAGAAGGAGTGCCTGGCCATGGTGTGGGCCCTCAAGAAACTAGAGCCCTATCTCTTCGGGCGGCACTTCACCGTGTACACCGACCACTCGCCCCTGACCTGGCTGCACCAGATGAAAGGAGCCAACGCCAAGCTCCTGAGATGGAGCCTGCTCCTGCAGGATTACGACATGGACGTGGTCCACGTGAAGGGAAGTGCCAACCTGATAGCGGATGCGCTGTCCCGGAGAGGGGGCCCCGAACTTCCCCAGGTCACTGGTCACAGTGACCCCGCTCAGTTCAGTCTCGAAGGGGGGAGAGATGTGACGATGTGACTCAGCAGGGAGGGGGGAGTGTTGACCTGTGAATGTGCCCTGGGGATGGGAGACCTGAGAGCCTGTCACCTGAGCCAGGAGGGGGAGGGGGAGGTAACACCTCTGCCCAGGAATGTGAACAGAGGCTGCAGCAGGGAACCTGCGGGGTGAGTTTAGTTGGCAGTTTGGAGGCTGGGGGGAGGAACACAGGGAACCCCAGGGCTGGGGTCTAAGCTCCCTGCTCCCCCAGAAGGATGTGATTGAGGGGTCCTGGTTGTACCCACAAGCTCTGTTGTGGACTGTGTTCCTGTTGTCCAATAAACCTTCTGTTTTACTGGCTGGCTGAGAGTCTCAGTGGATCCCAGGAAGAGGGGTGCAGGGCCTGGACTCCCCCACACTCCGTGACACCCTACGAGGCACCTGGCACTGGCCACTCTCGGAAGACAGGATACTGGGCTAGATGGACCTTTGGTCTGACCCAGTACGGCCATTCTTCTGTTCTTATATTCCCTCCACACACTATACCCCCCACTTACCTCCCTCCACAATATACCCGCCACACATATGCCTCCCTCTACACCTTATACCCCCTCCACATGTACGTCCCTCCACACACTGTACCCCTCACACATATACCTCCATCCACACACTGTACCCCCACACTTGTACCTCCTTCCACATGACTGCACCCCTCAGACACGTACCTCTCTCCACACACTATACCCCTCAGACACGTACCTTCCTCCATACACTATACCCGCCACACATGTACCTCCCCCCACATGACTGCACCCCTCACACATGTACCTCTCCCCACACACTATACCCCTCACACTCGTACCTCCCACCATGCACTGTACCCCTCGTACTCGTATGCCCCTCCACACATTATACCCCCCACTTACTTTCACACACTACACGCTCACACACGTACCTCCACACACTGTAACCCCACACGCACCTCCCTCCACACACTGTACCCACCACACACGCACCTCCCTCCACACACTATACCCCCCACACTCGTACCTCTCTCCACACACTGTACCCCTCAGAAACGTACCTCCCTCCACACACTGTACCCCCCCACATGTACCTCCCCCCCACATAGTTACCCCCATGCACACATACACACACGCACCCCCACCATAGACATATACCCCCACATACACTGCCGAAGACACATTCACCCTGCACACTACACCACCCCACATACACACCTGTGCACATCCATCCCCCATGCACATCCGTCCCCACCTATATACCCCCATATGCACACCCCCCACACATATACATGTATACACAGTCCCACAAACACATATATACCCCACACATATACACACATATATACACACCCCAAACATGCACCTGCCCCAAACACATACACCCCCACACCAATACAACCCACATATACATCCACATATAGCCTGCCCCCCACATATACACACAAGCTGCTCCCATATACATCCCCACAAACACATATATACCCCTATATACACACAAATGTATATACCTGCCCACACATATACAACCCACACACATATACGCACAGCCCCCACACACTTACACCCCCACATATACACTCCTCCACTCATACACCACCCTCTCATATACACCCCCTACATATACACCCACCAATACACATACATATACCCCCCTTATATATATACATACACCCCCATCCTACATATTCATATACACCCCTCACACACATACAGACCCCCCCACACATAGAGCCCCAAACACACAAATGCCACCCCACAGAGCTACCACAAACAAACGCCAACACAGGGCACAAGCCAGCACCCACACACATACCACAAACACCTCCCTGCCCACCCACACAGATGGATGAGCTCCAGCTGTCTGCCTGCCATGGCTCTGCCTGGCGTGCTGTGGACAGCTGGTGCAGGGCTGTGTGGCTGAGCCCCTGTGCTGTGCGGCTCTCCCCTGCCTGTCACAGTTCCTAGGTGCTCTGGCACTCACAGCCCCCCAAGGCTGGCTTTCTTTGGGGGGGGGTAATTGATACTGAAGCACATCTACCCAGCCCTGGGGGGTGGTCTGTGCCAGGCCAGAATAGAAGTGCCCCTGGTCAGGGCAACCCCAAGTGGGAATAGGCGTTCAGCTCCCCCCACAGGGGTCATGTTGTCTATGCTCCGTGATTTCATTCACTTCGCTCCCTCTAAGCAACTCCACTTCCATGGACTCCCTGCCATGGGATTCAGCATAGGCCCAGCAGAGCCAGTCTTCCCGCGCACCTGTCTTTCTGTCCCCAGACACATCACCCTCTAACTATGGCCATACTGAGTGCATCTATCTATCTATCTATCTATCTATCTATCTATCTATCTCCATACACCCCCTTTATCTATCTAGCCTCATACACCCCCCTCTATCTAATCTAATCTATCTATCTATCCTCATACACCCCCTCTATCTATCTATCTGTCTATCTATCTATCTACAGCACAGAGATCTACGCTCTCTCTCTGGTTGCCCTCACCCTGCAGCTGGGGGGAGCTAAGGGGCACTGCTGAGGGCTGTGGGGAGGGGGCTGGGGCAAGATCCCTGCACAGGGCAGCAATGCTGGGTTCATTGTTGTCAGCGGGCTGTTCAGCACCAGCCTCCCTGCCTATGTTTGGAAGTCGGCATGAATTGTGTTTGAGTCAATGACACATGTTCTCCGCGAGCGGGAGAGATTATCCCAGCGCAGGACAGCCCCGGGGACAGAGAGCGCTGGCCAGAGCAGGGAAAGTCTGAGTCACAGCTCCAGATCCTGGGGACTGCACGGCTGGCCGGTGGCTCGCGGCTTGGCCCGGTGCAGGGAGAGACACGGAGACACAGCAGCACAGAGTCCCTGCATACGGAGCTCACCGACATGGTCCCTGGGTGCATGCCAGCAACAGGATCCCTGCACCGCACCTCCTGAGAGACGCCAGCCAGGCCAAGTGTGGACACTAGGGTGAGAGAGAGGCCTTCAAACACCATCATCCATCTATCATCTAATCTAATCTATCTATCCATCCCCACAGCCCCTCTATCCATACCCCCCTTCTATCTCTCTATCCCTCCCCATACACACCCTGTCCCACAGCCCTGGGAAGCTGCCTGGGAATGCCATCATGCTCTCTAAGCTGGGGGAATGGGTGCTGGTACCCATCTCAGGGTACAAGTGCATCAGCTGGCTCCCCCCGCCCGGGGAGCAGGAATGCTCTGCCCTCGCATGTTGGAGGACAAGGCATGCGGGGAGGGGTGCTGCAATGTCTCCAGGTCTCTGTGGGGGCTCAGGGAGAGAGCCAGGGTTGTATGCCACATTGCCGCCAGTTCTCGTATCAGCAGAGGAGGGTGCCCGAGCACCCAATGGATGCTGGCTGCTCCCGACTCCCTGCTAGGCTGGCACAAGGCTAGGCTCACTCCGTGGCAAGGAGCGCACAGTGCTGCAGGGTGTGACAAAACGCCACTCCCCCAGCCCTGGTGGGGCACTGGCTCCATACCCCCATGAGGGTCTGTGAGCTCTAGAGCCCTGCCCTGCCATTGCGTCTTCATGGTTCCGATCCCGCTGCACAGAGCTAACGGGACTTTTCCATCCACTAAGCCTCACAGCAGCCTGCATGCTGATAAATCTGGAGTCCCTCCCTGACTGCAGTGCGGTCAGATACATAGACAGAGGGTTGTGTAGAGGTAGATAGATAGATAGATTAGATAACTGGTTCTGTGGATGAGGGGAAAGCAGTGGACGAGTTAATCCTTGACTTTAGCAAAGCTTTTAATACGGTATCCCACAGTATTCTTGCCAGCAAGTTAAAGAAGTATGGGCTGGATGAATGGACTATAAGGTGGATAGAAAGCTGGCTAGATCATTGGGCTCAACGGGTAGTGATCAATGGCTCCCTGTCTGGTTGGCAGCCGGTATCAAGCAGAGTGCCCCAGGGGTCGGTCCTGGGGCCATTTTTTTCAATATCTTCATTAATGATCTGGAGGATGGTGTGGATTGCACCCTCAGCAAGTTTGCAGATGACACTAAACTGGGAGAAAAGGTAGATACCCTGGAGGGTAGGGATAGTATACAGAGGGACCTAGACAAATTAGAGGATTGGGTCAAAAGAAATCTGATGAGGTTCAACAAAAACAAATGCAGAGTCCTGCACTTAGGATGGAAGAATCCCATGCGCTGCTACAGACTAGGGACCGAGTGGCTAGGCAGCAGTTCTGCAGAAAAGGACCTAGGGGTTACAGTGAATGAGAAGCTGGATATGAGTTAAGTGTGCCCTTGTTGCCAAGAAGGCTAACGGCATTTTGGGCTGTATAAGTAGGAGCATTGCCAGCAGATCAAGGGACGTGATCGTTCCCCTCTATTCGGCATTGGTGAGGCCTCATCTGGAGTACTGTGTCCAGTTTTGCGCCCCACGCTACAAGAAGGATGTGGAAAAACTGGAAAGAGTCCAGCGAAGGGCAACAAAAATTATTAGGGGGCTGGGGCACATGACTTATGAGGAGAGGCTGAGGGAACTGGGATTACTTAAGTCTGCAGAAGAGAAGAATGAAAGGGAGTTCCAAAGAGGATGGATCTAGACTCTTCTCAGTGGTAGCAGGTGACAGAACAAGGAGTAATAGTCTCAAGTTGCAGTGGGGGAGGTTTAGGTTGGATATTACGAAAACTTTTTCACTAGGAGGGTGGTGAAGCACTGGAATGGTTACCTAGGGAGGTGGTGGAATCTCCTTCCTTAGAGGTTTTTAAGGTCAGGCTTGACAAAGCCCTGAGTGGAATGATTTAGTTGGGGATTGGTCCTGCTTTGAGCAGGGGGCTGGACTAGATGACCTCCTGAGGTCCCTTCCAACCCTGAGATTCTATAATAGATAGATAGATAGATAGAGGGGTGTATGTGTATAGATAGATACATGGATAGACGGATGGATGTACGGAATAGACAGGTGTGTGGAGAGAGTGTGTGTGTATGTGTGGGGGATAGGCAGTGTGTATGAAGAGAGATGGATCCACATCCTCCCCAGATCTGAGTAGGCTCCTCTCTGAGCTGCTCAGAGCTGACCACCGGGCTACAGGCTGTTCTAGGGGCATCTCTCTCAGGGCTGGTCTATCCTGGGAACTTATATTGGCACCACTACATTGCTGAGGGGTGAGAAAAATCCACCCCCTTGAGCAGCATCCTTAAGCCTGCCTAACCCCTGGTGCAGACAGCGATCGGTCCGCGGGAGAATTCTTCCATTCATCTAGCTGCCGCCTCCCACGGAGGTGGGTTAAATACACTGACAGGAGAGCCCCTCCCATCGCTGTCGTGAGTCTCTGCACTGAAGCGCTACCACCTTAGCCTTGGTCGGCACTCCACACTACGTTGCTCAGGGGTAGGTCCACATCCCTGAGTGACGCAGTTATACCGACCTAACCCCCCACGTAGACAGGGCTATGTCGATGGGAGGGCTTCTCCTGTCCACATAGCTCCTGCCTCTGCGGGAGGTGGAATCCCTACGCAGGTGGGAGAAGCTCTTCACATCTTCACTAAGCGCTACAGCGGCACTGCTGTCCGTGTAGACAAGCTCTTAGGCCTGGTCTACACCGTTAGGTCAAAGAGAGGCAACTTATGTCGATCTCACTCCGTAAGCGTCAGCTCTAACTCGTGTAGCTCCCACTGAAGTAAGTGCCCCACTACAGTGGCTCTCAGCCAGAGATACGTGTACCCCTGGGAGTACGCAGAGATCTTCCAGGAGGTGCATCCATTCATTTAGGCATTTGCCTAGTTTCACCACAGGCTGCATAAAAAGCCCTAGCACAGTCAGTATAAACTAAAACTTCATTCAGTCGATGGCTTGTTTATATACGATACACTGAAATGTAAGTACAATATTGATATTCCAGTTGATTTATTTTATAATTATATGGTAACATGAGAAAACCAGCCATTTTTCAGTAATCGTGTGCTGGGACACGTTTGTATTTTTATATCTCATTTTGTAAGCAAGCAGCTTTTAAGTGAGGTGAAACTTGGGGGTACACAAGACAAATCAGACTCCCGAAAGGGTATAGCAGTCTGGAAAGCTTGGGAGCCACTGGCCTACTACACCGACTTAATAACTCCTTCACTGCGAGAGGCGTAGCGTTTGGGTCGCCGTCGGTAGGTCGACGCAGTGCCAGGGTAGACACTGTGTTACTGATATCACCTGTTGCCACCTTTCCGAAGCCGTCCCACAATGCCCCATGCTGACAGTTAAAGTGGTGCAAGCGCTCCTGGTGAGGACACACACCGCCGACACAAGGAGCATTGTGTGGACATACAAAAACAATCGAATTTCTGCGGTGCTTCTACGTCAATGTAACTTAGGTCGACTTAATTTTGTAGCATAGACTTGCCCTTAGTCTCTGCTGTTGAAGCTGGTCCATAGTGTATAAAGACTGAAATAATTACAGGGCCAGCAAGTGCGAAAGCCCCAGGGAGTTTGACTCTGCGGCCCAGTGGCTGGAGCATTTACTGGGAAGCAGGAGACCTGCACCACAGCAGGTAGAGGGGGGATTTGAACCTAGCTCTCCCCTCTCCTCACAGAGTGTGCTGCCCACTGGGCTAGGGCTGTAAGCAGGGAGCTCTCCTGGGGGGTTTTCATGAGACAGGGCTGACCTGGCTCAGGCACCCAGCTCTAGGACAGGGGTCCCGGGTGACAAACCCCACCTGGGCTGGGGGCCAAACTATCTCAGAGGGAGCGGGCTGGGGAACTGTGGTCTGTGCAGTCCGCTGGTGGCCGGGGACCAGGCGCTGCACCGCAGAGCTCTTTGTGCACCCAGCCCTGGTCCCTCGGCTCGGATCTGCTTTTCTGCTTTGGGAGGAGACTGGGGCCAGGCCCGCAGGCGGGTGCAGCTCCTGCTCTGTAACCCCTGCGGGGTGAGTGAGGCTCCAGGGCTGCCCACACGAGTCACGCTCGGGGCTGGCAGCTCCAGCAGGAGGCCCTGGGGACACAGGCAAGTCACAATCAGCACTAATTAGTGTTAGGGGGCTTATTCCTTCACCCACTTACTTCCCTGGTCCTTCTCGCATGAACAGAGAGCAACAATACCCGAAGTCCAAAGGTGCAAACAATTCGATGTTTATTGGGGTGAACTTCCAGCAAGCATGATTCCAGTTTCCTTCCTTAGTATCCTCCTTCCCAGCTCTGACACCACAGAGCCTTACACCTGTGTCCCTGTTCCCATTCCTACCCTTAGCCAAACATGATTCCAACTTCCTTACTCCCATTCCCTGTTCCCATCTCCCCCTTTAGCAAAACATGATTCCAATTTTCTTACCCCCATTCCCTGTTCCCATCTCACACACCCACATGCCCACCCCCACCCCCTTCCTCATTGACTACAGATTATATAGTAAAACTTGAGTTCTGCTTAGCTATACCTTAACCAATCATTTTCCTGAAATTTAACTAACCAATCCTAACATATTGTAACATGATTATGTAACCAATTATATCCCACCACCTCAATTAGTTTACACCCAGCAAAATTAATTATACAGCACACAGGAACAATCACAGAACCAGACAGAGATTATACAGACAAACAACAGCAAAGTGGGAACTATAATGACAAAACAATACAGAAGTGAGGATTTCACATCCCAGCTATTGATAAGTGAGTTCTTGCCAGACAGGATGCTATCAAACTAAGTTTCCTTTTACATTTTCTAGGCACTTCCCTTCCTCTGGAGGTGATAGGAATACAATCCTGTCCTGATAGTGCCTAACAGCCTAATAGCACCTTATTTCAATGTGACTAGTTTGGAATGTGAGGATGTGACCGTTCGCTTCCCAGCTTATGGCTGCCTCTGCTGCTTAGCCAAAGGCCTGAGCCTAAGCACAGGGCCACAAACTGTCACAGTAAGAGAAGGCCCTTACACTGGCAGACAGTGGTTTTGATTCTTTCTTTTATACCTCTATCACTAGCCAAGTGATAAGAATACACCTAAA